TGACTTCATTCAGAGTTCTTCATTAATTACTTTTCTTTATAGAGAGTTCTGAAATTACTGTATAAGTTATATTAACAACTAAGAGTTGATCTAGAATGGTATGTGATGCCGGAGAAGTGAAAATTAACACGCTAAACACCTCGATAATGTAGATAACTTAAAGTGAAGAAGACGAGTAAAAAAAAAAAAAAGATCTGTGAAGTTTGTCATTATTTTGTGACCCCTGCTCGTGTAAATTAACCCGGTAACTCGCAACCAATCATCAGCTGCCTTTGATCTAGACAAGTAGCTAGCTGGGGGTGAACACAGTATAGTACAGTGGTTTTGTATATTGGCTCCAACACCGATAACCTTCCACTGGTGCGCTACATATAGTTTTTTGTGAAAGAATTATATATCCTTATAGTAAATAAAATATCAAATATAAATTTCCATAAAAAAATTACATATATATATATATATATATATATATAAAATGCTTACTTAACACTTTACAAAATGTTATATAATATAATGTAGAAGAGTACAAAATACTTACACTTCCAAAATAATACAAAATTACAGACTTAGTGCAGAACTAAGCAGATTGTGAAACAGTAGAGGAGAGTTTGGCCAGTTACAATACTGTACACTACTGTATAGTACTGTAAATAAGAAACAATTTATATGCCCCAGTTATCAATGTTTACTGGACTGCCTGAGTTTCTGATGTGTTTACTGCCCGAGTTTCTGATGTGTTTACTGCCCGAGTTTCTGATGAGTTTACTGCCCGAGTTTCTGATGTGTTTACTGCCCGAGTTTCTGATGTGTTTACTGCCCGAGTTTCTGATGTGTTTACTGCCCGAGTTTTTGATGTGTTTACTGCCCGAGTTTTTGATGTGTTTTACTGCCGAGTTTCTGATGTGTTTACCGCCCGAGTTTCTGATGTGTTTACCGCCTGAGTTTCTGATGTGTTTATCGTCTTAGTTTCTTACGCGTGTTTACTGTCCGAGTTTCTGATGTGTTTATCGTTCGAGTTTCTGATGTTTATCGCCCTGTTTATAAGTCATGCCTCAGTTTATAAGTTTACTGCTTCAGTTTCGATGTGTTGATGACTGAGTTTTGATGTGTTTATCGCCCGAGTTTTGATGTTACAGTTCGAGTTTCGATGTGTTTACCGTCCGAGTTTTTGATGTGTTTATCATTCCAGCTATGTTTATCGTCGAGTTTTGATGGTTACCGTCTGAAGTTTTTGATGTGTTTATCGTCTGTGAGTTTCTGATGTGTTTACCGTCTGAGTTTCTTGATGTAATCGATGCCCCAGTTTTTATGTGTTTACCGTCTCGAGTTTCTGATGTGTTTACCGTCCCGAGTTTTTGATGTGTTTACTGCCTTCAGTTTATGTGTTTACCGCCTCAGTTTCTGATGTGGTTTGTTGCCCAGTTTCTGATGTGTTTACCGTCTGAAGTTTTTGATGTTTACCGCCTGAGTTTTGATGTGTTTATCGTCCGAGTTTCTGATGTGTTTACTGGCCTCAGTTTATGTGTTTACTGCCTCAGTTTCTGATGTGTTTATCGTCTCGAGTTTCTGATGTTTATTTCGCCCGAGTTTGATTGTGTTTACCGTCCGAGTTTTTGATGTGTTTATCGTCTCAGTTTCTGTGCGTTTACTGCCCCAGTTTGCTCGATGCGTTTATCAGTCTGAGTTTGATGTGTTTATCGTCTGAGTTTCTGATGTGTTTACCGCCCTGAGTTTTGATGTGTTTACGTCTGAGTTTTTGATGTGTTTACCGCCCCAGTTTTATGTGTTTACCGGCCCGAGTTTTCTGATGTAAGTTTATTGCCCGAGTTTCTGATGCTGTGTTTACTGCCCGAGTTTTTGATGTGTTTACCGCTCGAGTTCTTCTGATGTGTTTATCGTCTCAGTTTCGATGCCGTGTTTATCGCCCAGTTTGATGTGTTTACCGCCCGAGTTTTCGATGTGTTTACGTCTCGAGTTTCTGATGTGTTTATTGTCCGAGTTTCTATGTGTTTATCGCCTAGTTTTTTAGTGTTTATCGTCTCGAAGTTTCGATGTGTTTATCGTCTGAGCTTTTGATGTGTTACCGCCTGAGTTTATGTGTTTATCGTCTCAGTTTATGTGTTTGGTCTCTAGTTTCTGATGTGTTTATTGCCCGAGTTTCTGATGTGTTTACCGCCCGAGTTTTTGATGTGTTTATCGTCCGAGTTTGATGTGTTTATCGCCCGAGTTTGATGTGTTTATCGTCCGAGTTTCTGATGTTTATCGTCTGAAGTTTTTGATGTGTTTATCTTCAGTTTTGATGTGTTACGAGTTCTAGGTTTATCGTCTGAGTTTTGACGGTTTACCGCCGCAGTTTCTGATGTGTTTACTGCCCGAGTTTTTGATGTGTTTATCGCCCGAGTTTGATGGCTTATCGCCGAGTTTTTGATGTGTTTACCGCCTGAGTTTTGATGTGTTTATCGTCCGAAGTTTTTGATGTGTTTACCGCCTTAGCTTCTGATGTGTTTATTGCCCGAGTTTGATGTGGTTTACTGCCCGAGTTTTTGATGTGTTTACCGCCTCAGTTTCTGATGTGTTTACCGCCTCAGTTTCTGATGTGTTTATTGCCCAGTTTTGATGTGTTTACCGCCAGTTTTTGAGTGTTTACCGTCTCAGTTTCGATGTGTTTACCGTCCTTAGTTTCTGATGTGTTTATTGCCCGGAGTTTCTGATGTGTTTACGCCGGAGTTTCTGATGTGTTTACTGCCTCAGTTTATGTGTTTATCGCCCTCAGTTTCTGATGTGTTTACTGTCTGAGTTTGATGTGCTACTGCCTCTAGTTTATGATAAGCTTACTGCCTCAGTTTCTTTATGGTTTAATAGCCCTCAGCTTATGTGTGTTTACTGCCTCAGTTTCTGATGTGTTATTTCCTGAGTTTCTGATGTTTACTGCCCGAGTTTCTGATGTGTTTACCGTCTCAGTTTATGTGTTTACCGCCTCAGTTTCTGATGTGTTTTATCCTGAGTTTTTGATGTGTTTACTGCCTCAGTTTCTGATGTGTTTCCAGTTTGTGTATTTACCGCCTCAGTTTATGTGTTTACCGCCTCAGTTTCTGATGTGTTTACTGCCGAGTTTCTGATGTGTGTTTACTGCCCCAGTTTTTGATGTGTTTACACCGAGTTTTGATGTGTTTACCCGAGTTTCTGATGTGTTTACTGCCGAGTTTCTGATGTGTTTACTGCCCGAGTTTCTGATGTGTTTACCGCCCAGTTTATGTGTTTTGCAGATTTCTGATGTGTTTACTCCCGAGTTTTGATGTGTTTACTGCCCAGTTTTTGATGTGTTTACTCCCTCAGTTTCTGATGTGTTTATTGTGTTTCTATGTCGTTATGACCGCCGAGTTTCTGATGTGTTTACTGCCCGAGTTTTTGATGTGTTTACTGCCCGGTTTATGTTTCTCGGTTTGTGTTTTGCCTCAGTTTCTGATGTGTTTATTGCCGAGTTTCTGATGTGTTTGCCTGAGTTTTTGATGTGTTTACCCGAGTTTCTGATGTGTTTACTGCCCGAGTTTCTGATGTGTTTACTTGAGTTTCTGATGTGTTTACTGCTGAGTTTTGATGTGTTTACTACCCGAGTTTCTGATGTGTTTTACTGCCGAGTTTTTGAGTGTGTTTGTCCGAGTTTCTGATGTGTTTACCGCCCGAGTTTCTGATGTGTTTACTGCCGAGTTTTTGATGTGTTTACTGCCTGAGTTTCTGATGTGTTTACGCAGAGTTTTTGATGTGTTTACTGCGAGTTTCTGATGTGTTTACTGTCCGAGTTTTGATGTGTTTACGCCTCAGTTTCTGTGTGTTTATGCCGAGTTTATGTGTTTACTGCCCGAGTTTTGATGTGTTTACTGCCCGAGTTTCTGATGTGTTTACTGCCTCAGTTTTGATGTGTTATTGCCGAGTTTCTGATGTGTTTACTGCCGGTTTGATGTGTTTACTGCCTCAGTTTCTGATGTGTTTACTGCCTCAGTTTCTGATGTGTGTTTATGGAGTTTCTGATGTGTTTTGTTCGGTTTTGATGTGTTTACCGTCTCAGTTTATGTTTTACTGCCTCAGTTCTGATGTGTTTAACTGCGAGTTTCTGATGTGTTTACTGCCCCAGTTTCTGATGTGTTTACTGCCTCAGTTTATGTGTTTACTGCCTCAGTTTCTGATGTGTTTATTTCCTGAGTTCTGATGTGTTTACCGTCCGAGTTTCTGATGTGTTTGTCCGAGGATTTGATGTGTTTACTGCCTCAGTTTATGTGTTTACTGCCTCAGTTTCTGATGTGTGTTTATTCCGTTTCATGTGTTTCTGCGAGTTTCTGATGTGTTTACCTCAGTTTCTGATGTGTTTACTGCCTCAGTTTCTGATGTGTTTGTGCCAGTTTTCTGATGTGTTTACGCCCGAGTTTCTGATGTGTTTACTGCCCCGTTTCTGATGTGTTTATTTCCTGAGTTTCTGATTGTTTACTGCCTCAGTTTCTGATGTGTTTACTGCCTCTATTTGTGTTTACTCTAATTGATGTGTTTACTGCCTCAGTTTATGTGTTTACTGCCTCAGTTTCTGATGTGTTTCTGCCTCAGTTTATGTGTTTACTGCCTCAGTTTATGTGTTTACCCCAGTTTCTGATGTGTTTATTTCCTGAGTTTCTGATGTGTTGTCTCAAGTTTCTCAGTGTGTTTACTGCCTCAGTTTCTGATGTGTTTACTGCCTCAGTTTCAATGTGTTTACCCGAAGTTTTGATGTGTTTACCGAGTTTCAGTGTTTACCTCAGTTTCTGATGTGTTTATTTCCTGAGTTTCTGATGTGTTTACTGCCTCAGTTTATGTGTTTACTGCCTCAGTTTATGTGTTTACTGCCTCAGTTTCTGATGTGTTTACTGCCTCAGTTTATGTGTTTACTGCCTCAGTTTCTGATGTGTTTATTTCCTGAGTTTCTGATGTGTTTACTGCCCGAGTTTCTGACGTGTGTAGATAGATCTGTCTGGTTCTGTTTTATTTTTTATTTTCACAATTTTAATGATTCCTTGATATAACTTTAGTATATTAATATGCTAAAGTTATATCTTGGTACAAGCATCATATTTCAGACCACAGGTAAGTTAAACAAAGGAAAACGGGGAAACAGATCTGGTTAAAAGTAATTACGGGTACTTTTCCCATGTCACTGTTAAGAGTGTTGAGCATCAGGAAGCACGAGACACAGCCTTGTCAGACATCAGGTTTGCACTGCACTCAGAAGAGGACGACTCAGGAGATGCACAGATGGAGGCGTAACCGATGGATTTACTTCTATATCCCTCAGGTCTTGTTAATAAGGGTAAAATGAGGAGGAGAATGTGTCATACTATATCAAACAGTACACACACAGTTCTATATACTGTACTGTAACACCATACATGTACTGCCCCTTACAAGATGACAATTCTAGGAAACTAAATATCAACAAAATTAGATAGATTTCTACAGCAGAAATATTATAAGAATAACTACAAATTATAAATAAATAAACTGTGCTAATATACATAAAAATAAGTCTCTAGGGTAAAGTTTACTATTATTTACAAGTATATTGAGAGCTTATACTAGTTGAGAGTCAGGTGGATGAAGCAGGTCTTAGCTTGTGATAGTTTGTCTCTCTACAAGCTTTCTGAAGATTCCCTCGGGCAGCTTCATCAACTCATCATACGACCCCATCTCACTAATGGCTCCTTCTTGCAGCACAGCTATTTGGTCTGCATTCCTGTGTGAAGAGACATAACATTTAAGTCTTCAAGTGGTTAAATAAAGACACCACCAGTTACAGTATATTTTCTGCCACACAGTAATCAGTGATATTACTCTTAATGTGGTGGGCAAGAACGTAAGAATCTCTGCTTTATGTAACAGCTTTTCTTTGATGATTTCACCGGCTACACAGATGAACATGTCTGGATCATCACCACTCAAATATTTGTATTATTATTATTATTCTCTACATTATTATAACACCTGAAAATGTGGATCACTTACCTGATGGTTGAGAGCCTGTGAGCTATGGTGATGACTGTACGACCGTGCATAAGTCGCTCTAAGGCTTCCTGCACCAAGCTCTCACTCTCAGCATCCAAGGCACTGTAAGTTAACAACATAAATACCATTAATTATCTCCTCCACTGACACAACTTATGGTGGCATCAAAGAAATTAAAAATGAAATTATGAAATATTGTTTTACATTTGATGGTAAGAAACAACTGATGTGACTATATAGTGATCCCTCGGTTAACGAACGCCTCGATTAACGAAATTTTGGTTAACAAATTCCCTTCCATAAGAATCTTCAATTCGGTTAACGAACAAAAATTTGGTTCACAAAATTCTTACGAAAACATGTCAACATGTTTTGGCTTGACCACCAGCTGGAAGATTAGTCCGCCAATACAGTAATCGGTTCTAGGGCTTATATTCATTTCCATTGGAGTAAATATCAAGAAGGTTGTGTTATTCAATATTTTTCCAAGCTCAAATAAATTTATAATTGTATTTAAAGTGAATGTTTGAAGAGCATCAACCAACCAATGAACAACAACACACAAACATGTGGCCAACGCTGGTCACAGCCAACTGTTATCACAGCCAGGAGCCGAGCGCCTTCCTAACAAATTTTTTAAAATTGTCGTACATTTATCGGGTTCATACATATTTTTTTCAATGATGTTATAACGAAATTATGTTAATGGGGGAATTAGTGCACTGTACTGTACTGGATCACCACATAAGCCTACACTGACAGATGAACTGTATATTAATGAGACACTGTAAGCAGTATTGACCACAACAACTCAAAGTTTATCGAAATTTAGAAAAAAAATGTGAGAGTCTACCCTCAAGTCAACTCCATGCTTTGTGATTAAAGTTGTGTTGGTTAGGTTTTGCCACACTGCAATTTTTTCCTCGTAAAAATTATCGTCTCTAGAACGAATGACACCTGAATGCCAGCTGGGTTGATACGTAGATCAAACTTACAGAATTTCTTTCTCAGCCACCTAGCCAACCCGCAGACATTCTTGGGTACATCCAGGGTACTCACAAATAATCAATGGCTGCAAATTAAAATCCATGTGTGTATGGCATGTATTTATATGGATGTGAACTATTGTACACTGATGAAAGTGGTGATAATAAGCTTTCTTACAGGGCTGTACACATACAAATCCTGATTATAAGGGAGCCAAGGTGCCACTGTTTAGTATAACTGGTGACTGCTTCTGTTCATGGCTGGGCTCTGATTCTAATGTGTCTAGATGATGTATTATACAGGGCCCAGGAGAGCCAAGTTGTCACTGCCCATTGTTTCTCACTATTGATCTGCTTTTTTTTTTTTTTTATTTATTTATTTCTATTAATTGTTTTAAATTATTATTATTATTAATATTATTATTATTATATTTTCACCCCCCAGACCCTGATGTGGGTTCAGTGGCCTGGGCTCTGGTGGGTTAATGCCCTAAAAAAATAAAGTAAGATTCAAATTAGAATTTATTGGCAGTCACAAGGAAAATTCCATTAAAGTCCCAGATTTCTGAAGGGCAAACTTTGATAGTTTGAAAAGACAGCTGAGAGAAGGGGATATCACGTCTGGGGATGGATTACATGACCTCACACAATGTACCCACAGAGGGCGACCTCACTTTACCTGGAGACCTGACAACGATATCCTCACAAAATATGACGGCTGAGGATGACCTGATCACGAGACCTGAGGTTGATGAGTTCCACGACAATTTAAATAATGAGTTACTTAATGCACAAGGGCAGAACATACCATTCAGTAAACTCAGATCAAACAACAATGACCCTAAATGTATAAACAATTATTTAAAGAATATTATTGGACAAAGGAAGGCTATAGGTAGGAGAATAAATCATGGTGAAGTTTACTTCCGAGATTATTATAAGGTATTGGCCAGTAGGGTTAAGACCGAGATAAGAACAGCAAAGAGGAATAATGAACTGAAGGTAGGAAGGGAGGCGAAGTCAAACTCCAAGGGATTCTCTCAATGTATCAAACTAAAACATGAGAAAAGATTGGACCAATATAGTCAGATACCGGCGAGCTAACCGATAACGACGGAGAAATGAGCAATAATCTGAATAAATATTTTTCAACAGTTTTCACCACCGAAAATTTAAGCTTGATAACCGAGGCACCGACTCTATACAGAGATAGTGAAGAAAGTTAATTACGCGAGATAGTAGTGACTAGTAACGATGTTACAGGTTGACAACCCTTTATCCGAAATTCCCAAAACCGAAAGTTTTTTTGTGGAGCAATATTATTTTGGTAACAGCCCACCCGGGCACAGGTCACTGACCCATATCGGGGCCTGGGGGGTGAAAATGTAATAGTAATAATAATTATAATAATAATAATGATAATACAGTAATAATAACAATTATTCATAGTAAATAAAATTTGTAATAAAAAATACACAAAAATAAAATAAGAATGATAACAATAATAATAATAATAATACTGTAATAATAAAATAATAATAATAATAATAATAATAATAATAATAATAATAAAGAAATACAAGAATGAAAAAAAGATCAAAAGTGAGAAACACGACCTAGACCTATGAATTATTATTATTATTATTATTATTATTATTATTATTATTTAGCCCCCAGGCCCCAATGTGGGTCATGACCTGTGCCCGGGTGGGCTGATCCCTGTAAAAAAAAAAGAAAAAAACCTAACCATTCTGAAAACCGAAAAATTCCAAAACCGAAATGCATCTGGTCCCAAGGATTTTGGATAAGGGATTGTCAACCTGTAATAAGCAAATAGACACGGTGTTAATAAGCAAATAGACAAGCTAAAGCCTAATAAGTCGCCAGGTCTCAATGAGATATTTACCAGAATATTAAAGCAATGTAAGAACAGCTTAGTATGCCCTTAACAAAGTTGTTTAACATGTCCTTAAAAATGGGTGTAGTACCAGAAGCCTGGAGGATAGCAAATGTAATACCGATTTTCAAGAAGATAGATCACTATCCTCTAAATACCATCCAATCAGTTTAACATCAATTGAAGGCAAATTATTGGAAGCAATAATTTCAAACTCCTTTCGAAATCACCTGGAAAAGCACAAGTTGATCAATGATTCCCAACATGGCTTCACAATTGGGTGTTCATGTCTAACTAATCTATTAACATTCTTTTCATCTGTTTTCGAATCAGTGGATGAGGGGCACAATTATGATGTGGTATATCTCGACTTTTGCAAAGCCTTCGACAGAGTCCCCCACGAAAGACTAATAAGAAAAGTGGAGGCTCATGGCGTTAAAGGGGATATTCTAAAATGGATTAGGGCGTGGTTACAGGACAGGAAACAGCGAGTGAGCATTAACGGGACTAAATCCGATTGGAGTAACGTCACTAGTGGAGTTCCCCAAGGCTCAGTACTTGGACCATTATTATTTATTATATACATAAACGACATAGATATCGGTGTAGACAGCAACATAAGTAAATTTGCTGATGACACTAAAATAGAGCGTGTAATTAAATCTGATGAGGACTCTGTCAGATTAGCTTCCTCTCTCTCAATATATTGAGAGAGAGGAAGCTATATTGAGAGAAAGCTATATTGAGAGAGAGGAAGCTATATTGAGAGAGGAAGCTATATTAAGAGAGAGGAAGCTATATTGAGAGAGGAAGCTATATTGAGAGAGGAAGCTATATTAAGAGAGAAGAAGCTATATTGAGAGAGAAGAAGCTATATTAAGAGAGAAGAAGCTATATTGAGAGAGGAAGCTATATTGAGAGAGGAAGCTATATTAAGGAAGGCTATGTTCAGGCTATGTTGAGGAGAGGCATGTTGGGAGGAGGCTATTAAAGGAAGCTGCCTGGAGAGGCTATGTGTTGGAGGAGGCTATGTTGGGAGGCTATATTGGAAGAGCTATGTTGGGGAGAGGCTATGTTAGGGAGAGAGGAAGCTATGTTGAGAGGAAGCTATATTGAGAGAGGAAGCTATATTGAGGAGAGGAATTTATATTGGAGAGGAAGCTGAGGAGAGGCTATATTGAGAGAGGCTATATTGAGAGGCTATATTGAGAGGGCTATGTTGGAGAGAGGCTATATTGAGGAGGCTATATTGAGGAGGAAGCTATATTGAGGAGGGCTATATTGAGGAGAGGGCTATATTGAGAGGAGGAAGCTATATTGAGGAGGCTATAATGAGAGAGGGCTATATTGAGAGGAGGCTATATTGAGAGAGAGAGGCTATATTGAGAGAGAGGCTATTGAGAGAGGCTATATTGAGAGAGGCTATATTGAGAGAGGCTATATTGAGAGAGAGAGAAGCTATATATTGAGAGAGGAAGAGGAAGCTATATTGAGAGAGGAAGCTATATTAACCGTCAATCCCGATTTTTTTTTTTTTTTCGGGGATTAGCCCACCCGGGCACAGGTCACTGGCCCACATCGGGGCCTGAGGGGTGATAATGTAATAATATTAATAATGATAATGATAATCATAATAATAATAGTAATAAAGAACCATAAAGAAATGCAAAAATGAAAAAAAAAATCAAGAGTGAGAAACAATGTACCTGTATGTATGTTGTGTTGTCAAGAGTAAGAGAAACAATTGAGACCCTGCAATTGTGTGTACATGAGGCAGAAAGTCAGATCAACAACCTGGGACTTGGTCACAATTTTTGTGGTGACAGATGTTCTTTGACTCTTCTATTTTTTATTCACGGTTTCTGTGCTGATTCATATTTATTTACTAAAGTGGTTAATGTTTTAAAGCAAATTCTATTGAAATATGAATGGCAAATCAACAAAAATGAATAGAGGGAATTAAATGAGGTAGGTTAGGGAAAGGTACTTTGAAAGTGTATGTTTTTGTTTCCGTAGACTTTATGTACTATTAACCGACCTTTTCGATTATCCGTCGGCCCCTTCCCCCCATATGTGGTCGGTTAATCGAGGTTTTACTGTGCATACAAAGTACAAAAAAATGCAATAAAGTACAGTTACTTTGAGGTGTGTATGTAGAAGGTTCCTGGTTGCTGATGACGATGGGAATTAAAAGTGGGGGTGGAGGAGAAGAGAGAAGAGAAGGAAGTGGGAGTGGAGGAGAAATTACCTTTCAGGGGACCCATGCTTGATGCCGTCATTTCACCAATAAAATTTTAAGTTCACTAGGTGTAATTCAAGATTATTTTATTTAAATCAACACTGCACTGCACTATATATTATCAATATGTTAAATAAATTTCAGAATGATCAATAATTTCAATGAAAAATGCAAAAATATTCAAGACACCAACAAAATAGATGTTCACTCCACTGTTTTCAAAGCCCAACTGACGCCTTGTAGCTGAGTCAAGCTGCTGATGGGCGCACAAAAAACTAGTTCCCTGTACTGCATATATTATCAATATGTTAAATAAATGTTAAAATGACTAATAATTTTTATATAAAAAATGCAAAGATATTAAAGAGCACAACTTTCTTGATATTTACTCCACTGGAAACGAATGTAAACATAGAACAGATTACTGAATTGGCAGACTAGCCCATCAGCTGATGCTCACAACAAAACGTGATGTTCGTAAGGATTTCGTTAATCGAATTTTTGTTCGTTAACCGGATTGAAGATTCCTATTGAAGGTAATTCATTTACCAAAATTTCGTCAACCGAACCGTTCGTTAACCGAGGGACCACTGTACTTATTTTCGAGTCCCGACGTTAATGATTGCCCTGTGTACTGACAAAATTTTTGTTTGTAATTCCCTTTAAAATGGCTGGCAAGCTTAAAAGTGAGTTTTGTGGTGCTGAGAAGAAAAAGAGACACCCATTTTAGATTTCCTATGTATTATTTTCGCCTTTTTGACTTACAATCTGGTCGTCGGTCCCAAACCCCGTCGTAAGTCGAGGACTGACTGTACTGTACTTTAAGAAGTAAGTGGAGGAGCCTCAAACACCCTGGAGCCTCAGGCCCTCAAACACCCTGGAGCCTCAGGGCCGCTAACACCCTGGAGCCTCAGGCCCTCAAACACCCTGGAGCCTTAGGGCCCCTAACACTCTGGAGCCTCAGACCCTCAAACAACCTGGAGCCTGAGAGTCTTAGTCTGCCACTGCTCACAGGACATAAATCATACAGTATTTCAAGAGGTAAAACAAGAGAGATACTGCACCTTGTGGCCTCGTCCAGCAGCAGGATACGAGGGTTGCTAATTAAGGCACGAGCTATGGCAATCCTCTGCTTCTGGCCGCCTGACAACATCACTCCTCTCTCTCCTACAACAGTATCCAGACCTTCTGGGAAAGAGTTGATAAACGGGAGAGCATTAGCCTCCATCGCAGCAGTGACGATCTCTTCCTCGGTGACGGCTGCCGGCTCCTGAGCGCCGTACACGAGGTTTTCGCGTATGGTTGTAGAGAAGAGCACCGGCTCCTGTTGGGGCACCAATAATGAGCCAGTTAACAAACATATTCAGTGTCTATTGTTTCTTTTATTATACAAGATTATATTTAAGAATTTTTCCCCTACGAAACATTTCACACAGTAGTATTTAATATAGTACAGTTCTGCTATAGCGATAATTGTGTTCTTGTAAAATATCGTGTTATAGAAAATCGCGTAATAGAAATAACAGGGCTTATGGAGAAAATAGGGTTAGGTGCAGTTTACTCGAAATCGAAAAAATTTAGTAGTTAGCCTAACACAAAGGATAGCACAGTCTAAATAAATGTTACATTCATATCTAATAATGAAATCATACAGTAAATTTAACACTTTACCTTGAAAAAATATGAATGTAACTTGATGGGGGAGAAGGGTGATTTTGAGGTTGATAACATCAAGCTTCTCTTCAAGTGTTATATCCTTTCTTTTACGATAATCACCGGGAATTCTATCATCAGAATGCTTTTTGGAGATATTCTTCTTTACCATATTCACAGTTAATACCACAAAATTGGAGAAATAGTAAGCAAAAATCGCGTTATAGCAAACAAGCGATCGCGTTATACAAATATTGTTCCGAATTCATAAATCGCGTTAGAGCAAATTCGCGTTATCAAAACACGCGTTATAGCAGAACTCACTGTACATAATTAAGGTGTAGCACTACTAGTGAACACAACCTTAACTAACACAGTAAACCCTCCACTCCTACAGGCTCTCCCACACACTTCTGCTTCAGGTCTCAAGTAATATTCCCAGCACTTGAATACAACATGCAAGCCAAACCAACACATTTCAACACATTCCCTGGATCATTCACTTACAGACAGTGCTTGACACTTGCGGGTGGACCCGAGTACAGTACAGTAGTGTATAGACAAGTGACAAAAGGAACAAAATAAGTTATAGCTACAGTTTGTCTCTTCCATCAATGACAACACCTGTTAAGTCACTTACTTACTCCTGTAAAGAACTCTATCACACTCACTTTCTTTGGTTAAACATTTAATGAGAAATGTAAGAAATCAAGAACTAAAATGTGAAATTCTATCTTCTGGCTGAAGGGGTTATGGCAAGGGACCTCCAAGTTTGCCACATTAGAACTGTGCCTGTAGCAGTCTGCTGGTTCAGGGAACTATTTGTGTTGTGGGGGAGGCTGTACACCTGGTCTAACAGGGGGTTATGAACAGAGTCAAGTGGTTGTTGTGACCAAGACACGAGGTACAATCACTCAAATGAATGATGTCACTATTTCCAGAATCTTTCAATCAGAAAGTGGTACAGTATCTGCCAACTACTTCACCAGTAGTTTGAAAAAAAATTATATGACGCTGGGGAACGTTGAGGAATAATTTGTGGAGTTATACAGTAATTGGACGTCAGAATGAAAAGTTATACATTAATTGTGTTAAGCTCAAATGAATATGAATAAAAAATATGAATTGAAATAATATTCACATTTACCAGGTTTATGCCACGTATTTAGTGACTATGTAAACAAACATTTTCCACATTCACCGCCTCCATGGACGATGACGTAAGGCGGGAAACATTCTCAAAACAAAACTGTCGTTTATACTCTAAAGGTTCAGTAGCGTATTATTTATCATCCAAGAATATAACATTAAACATTCCCGTTCAAAAGTCATTCATTACAGATGAAAAAACTATAATTTGGTTAAATTGCTAACTTCTATTAAACCTTATTTAATTAATAATTATTTTAGAGTACCAAAAGCCTTTCATATTGTTCTAAAAATAAAACCACTTTTAAACAAGATAATAAGCTATATGTTGCTGTATCATCTTGGACTGGCTGGACTTTATTTTCCTCCATTCATCATCTTCATATTTTATGGTTGGGATGGGGATATAGCTCGTTAACTTTTGCTACCTTTATACCTGCCACAGTGGTGAGTCACTTGTTTTGTTTGGGCAAGTTGCCAGATAAAGCTGTTAGAACAACTCATACTGAAGAGTGACATTGCTTCTTCAGTTGATTGTTTACTTGACTACAACC